CACTCGTTATTCCGACCTCCAGGGTAACTTGCTTATGGGCAGTAACCAGGAAGTTTGCCAACTGTCACATGGGTAGTTTGTTTAAATTAGGGTCCCTTTTAGGGTCCTTTTTGTAAGGGTGCTGTAGTACTATGGATTCCTAAAAAGGGGCCTTTTTAGACAACTAACCTCACCAGTGTAATAGTAATACCCAAGGTAGCCGCATGGCCAGGGCGAGGCAGAGAGCGAGAAGAAAGATTCACATGTTGCACCTGCAACTTGAACGTATATGTAGCTAGACAACAGCAATGTGAACTCTTTGTGAATATGTGTACATATACCTATATATACATATATGTACATATGTAAGATGTACATGCTACTATGTATGCATCTATCTATCGATCGATGCAGCTAGCCGTCGAGATATGCAAAATTACTTGTAGCCAGGTTGATATCTTTACACTTCGATAGAAGCATACTTGTATAGACTGGCATATGAAGAAATAAGTACACATACCTGATGAGCGTCGAGATATGCGTGCGCGAAAATAAATTTTGCTATGAAGAGGTGCATCGTGGCGTATCGCAACTTCTTACACACATCGTTATTTGCACCGTCTCAATCCACATTTATCGCCAAGCTGCCTCTTTTCCCTGTGCGGCCACATGCGCCTACTGAGTCCCAAACTCCGCGGCCCGCATGAAAAGGGGTCCCGAAGCCCTGCGCCCGTAAACCGTTAACCTTTGAAACCTTTAAACCCCATAGCCTAAACCCTTAAATCCTTACGCTGCTAAGCGTCCGATCATCTCGTGGAAGGAGTCCTCGTGCTCACGATGCGCGATCACCTCGGCCAGCTTATATGGATTCCTGGTTCTATAGGCGGTTCTATTAGAGGTTTGAGGGTTCCTATAAGGATGCCTGGAAGGGTTCTATAGGCAGTTCTATCAGGGGTTTGAGGCTTCCTATAAGGATGCTCGAAGGGTTTACAGGTGGTTCTATCAGAGGTTTGAGGGTTCCTATAAGGATGCCTGGAAGGGTTCTATGGGTGGTTCTATCAGGGGCTGCAGTAGGTACAGGCTTGGGCAAGTAATTATGGGTTTTTATCTAGATGTTGGGGCTGCTGTTGGAAATCGACGCCTAGCATGGGACTTTAGCAAATCGGTGCTTCAATCGATACAGTAGGTTTGTCGCTAAACCCTAAACCCTTAAAACCTAAACCCTAAGCCCCTAAACCCCTAAACCCAAAACCACTTAACCCTAAACCCCTAAA